CTACGAAGTGTAATGCTCTTCAGAGATTTAACAGAAACCGCGGACTAGGAAACAAATAAACTCTGGATTTTATCTGCTTATCAGTAGCACTTACGGCATATCATAACTCTCATTTTTTATCATATGCTGAGAAATAAGACTTTTAAACTGCTGGCTTCTTATGTTTCCTTTATCCTTTAGGTTATTAAAAAATGGTATATCGAATCTCACGCCCAAATGTTCAACAAAACCATCTCATACGATGCCATCAGCAGTACGCAATGGTAAGTTTTTTAGACATATTTGGCACTTAAAATTTAGCAAATGGTGTTTTAAATTTACTAAGTAATATCCAGTCTTTTAAAGTAATAATAGATGAAACATATATAATCAGCGCCTCAGGGAGTATTGATTTAAGGGCAATAACAGTTGGCCTGTTTGCTGTTGGTGGTATGATTGGCGGTCTTGCTTCTGGATGGTGCGCCGATACTTTCGGTCGCAAAGGAGGCATGTTACTGAATAACATCCTGGCTGTAATCGCTGCAATTTTAATGGGAAGCGCAAAGTATGTAGGAGTATATTTCCTTATTATGGTTGGTCGAGTCATTATTGGTATCAGTTCAGGTCTGTTTTACCAATCAAATAGGGCAAGAGTCACTATCATGAAATTTTGTCTATGTGGTTTTGAGGTTTACTGACTACGTGGTTTCTAGGCCTTAGTTCTGCATTAGTACCAATGTATCTAACGGAACTGTCTCCAATTAATCTACGTGGTACAATTGGAAGTTTCAATCAACTTACTGTCACTATTGCAATTTTGATCTCACAGATTGTTGGGTTACCGCAGCTTTTTGGCACTAAAGAACTCTGGCCTCTCGTTTTTGGTTAGTATTTTTCCAGATTTTGTAACGAGAATAATTTCCTGCTAGTTTAAAGTTATATGAAACGCTTTCTTTTTAGCTTTCGGTGTTGTCCCAATTGCAATTCAATTGGTCACCCTGCCACTATGTCCTGAATCACCAAAATATACTCTAATTGTTAAAGACAGAAAAGAAAGAGCTGAAGCAGACTTGAAGAAAATCCGTGGGGAGGACGATGTAAGTTTTTTTTGGTTGCACAAAAGTGGTTTGTTTTTTGTGCTACAGTTTGGTACCTCAGAAAACGAAGAATCGGTAACTTACTTGCTCTAATGCTTTCAAAATTTCTTTTTGCTGTCTTTCCTCTAAATACTCGTTTTTCAGGTAAGTACTGAGCTAAAATCGATGCAAGATGAGGCCAACGCAATGGCAGCGGTTGAGAAAATTGGTATCAAGAGTCTTTTTAAAGGAGAATTGGCTTGGCCAATGTTTATCGCAATTATGATGATGCTTGCACAGCAACTTTCTGGTATCAATGTTGCAATGTTCTTCTCAACAATCATCTTCAAAAATGCTGGTCTTGGTGACAACGCCGTTTATGCAACACTTGGAATGGGTCTCTGTAACGTTATCATGACCGTTATTTCCGTCTATTTGGTGAGTTTTATTATCTTATTTTTTCCTGACCTAAGTTACGCTGAGAAACTTTGGATTTATTGGTGCATTACTGGAGCTTCTTTCATATATTAATTTCCATGGTTCTGTATGGACCACTTTAATGATTCGGTGGCTACTTCAGGTTGATCATCCTCGTTTCGGTCGTCGTTCGCTTTTGCTTGCTGGTTTGATTGGAATGTTGTTCTCGTCTATTGCTCTCGTAATCTCAATCACTGTTTACGTAAGTTCTTTATGTAACTGTTTTCGAAGGGTAGGTTAGGGTGAATAATGAAAAAAAGAGCTTTCAATGTCACAGAGGTCTGCTAGAGGTACCTTCTGTTAAGTTTTATTAATGGAAGCCGTTGTTCAACTTCATACTTGCGTATTTTTTGCTGCATTAATTTTTCTTTTTAGAATATGGATAAAGTTGCTAATGATTTCTTGGCGTATCCATCTATGGTGTTTGTCTTCCTGTTTGTTATTTCGTTCGCTACTGGACCAGGTTTGATGTTTTTGTGGTCTTAAAGACAGTAATTTTCAAATCTATTTAAGCAAGTTGAAGAGTGGTTTTTTCAAGGTTCTATTCCTTGGTTCTTTGTTTCTGAACTGTTCACATCTGGAGCTCGCGGAAGCGCGAATTCTGTTGCTGTAATGACAAATTGGCTTGCGAATTGTTTGGTTGCAATTACCTTCGAATTTTTGATGGTAAGTTCAGTTGTTTTTCTTTTTTCTTTATTTTTTTGGCGGAGACGTTTGCCTTAAAATCAGCTTCATTTCTAATTTTAATACTTGTAGTTTCCTGCAAAAAATACTTATATGTAGTCAAGAACTTCAATCATTCTTTCGTCGTTCTTTTTTCTTCTTTTTTCAGTAGTTCACAAGTTATCTTCTCAAACTGCATTAGTGTCAGTTTCTTAGTATTTATTATTGAAATAAATGGGGAAAATAATTACACAAGTATTTCAGCAAGTTTTGATGCAGTATTCATTCTTGGTTTTCGCTGTACTTCTTGCATTCTTCATCGTGTTTACCTACATATTTGTTCCGGAAACGAAAGGTCGTACAGTGGAAGAAGTTTACGAAGAATTCAAAAAAGGGAAATCGCGATTTTCCAGGAAAGAAAATTCCTAAATTTCCTCAACAAGTTTTTTGTTTTGTTCTTATTTTCTGTTTTATGCTGTGTGTATTTCTCGCAGTAGTCTCTTTATGTGTCTTTTTTAGACATGAGGAGAAGTTTTGTTTTATTAAATTTTACCCGTACTTTTTGTATTTTTTGTGCTCAGTTTTGCTTTTTGTTTTTTGCAGGTTTAGGATTTATTGCTTTTTTATTTTGTTCTAAAAAACACTTGCTTATCAGTGAACAGGAACAAAAAGAACAAAAAGAACAAAAAGAACAAAAAAAAAAACAAAAAAATAAAAAATAAAAACAAAAAACTGTATTTTTGTC